TAACTTCATCAAGTTTTGCAAAAACAGACGTGAAAATTTTCTCTCGCAGACATTGTAGTGAGGCATCCGATGCAATTTATGTATGTTATCTAGAAAAATCTTTGCAACTTTGGCAGTTTCCAAATGACAGGTAAAGGCCTTTGTAGTCCATACTTAGTAAGTCGGTCAACCATCCCAAAACAGTATCCTTCTTATTGGAATGAGGTAGCTGTTCTATGAAGTCTGTAGAGTGTGAGACAGAGGACTGATTAGATATTTATAGAGGCTTTAACATACTTGGAGATGGGACGTCTTATCCCTTGCATCTCTAACAGATATCAGACTTAGAAACCCAATCCATGACATGTTGTTTGAGACCATGTCTAGAGAAGTTTGCTTCATTTAGTGGTAATTCACTCTTATTCCTGAATGTTCTTTCAACAATGAGTCATGATGTGTTTTAGTAATACCTATATTTCAAGCTTATTTGATACGCGACATAGATCCTTCCTTTGTATCTTAGGATACCTTTGTATGACAAAGGAGGATTTAAAAAACAAAATTGGGATTAACATATAGAACTCAATTAGCTGATCTGCAACTGCCAATTGACATTGACTTGAGCAAGAAAGATGAAAGCAACTTCTTATAGGATATGTTATAGGCTGAGGAAGAAGGTTAACAGGTAATCTTCAAGATTCTGGTCCCTACCGTTGACTTTAAAACATCAAAAATTTATAAATCTGCTAAAAATGAAAATAAATAAATTTAGCAAATATCAGAAAACCAGTTTTACTACCTCTATTACTTCTATAGTTTTTCTGCTCAAAGTTGATTACTGCTTCTCGTCTGTTATGCATGATGGTTGCCATGGTTACAAGCCCTGGATTTGAAAAACAGAATAACAGTGAAACATGTTCTAAGCTGAAGGAGGATTCAAGGTAATGATCTTGGTAGGATGGGGTAAGTTTCACGTGAGCAGCTTTCTTGGCTGAATGTGGTGAGGTTTAGCAGGAAAGTATAGGTTGTCTTTTGGGGAGATTTTTGGCCTTTAAGCATAGTACTAATAGCTTGTCCCACACCTGCTTAAAAACTAATGCGGGGATTGCTTGAACACTTTAATAATGAGATGAAGCTCTCAGTTAAGTTGCAAATGTGCTTAAAAGGCAGTACTGCTCAAATAGGCCAAGGTTGGTCCTTAACTCATTGGTAGAAGTTACTCAAACCACTCTTGGTAGGTAAAAACAAAATCAATTTGGATAAGTTTCTTGAATTTATTCCACCACTTCCATCACTGATTAATCACCAAATCTCCTAAACAGTTCTTCAAAAAAAATGTTTCAGTTCAACACTTTCTGTTGGACTTGCCAACCTTAGTATCAAGTGTCTGTTGTATTTATGAGAAACAAGTTTGCTGCCTCAATCTTTTGAGAATCAAGTACGGCGTAGATCTGAAAGTATTTATTGCAATATCTAACCCAAGCTATGGGTTTAACCATACCAAACAACATAATCTCCATTATATGAGGGTTTTTACCCAGAAAATTCCAAACCGAGCCTTGACTATTACTGCTACCACCAACCTCTTTGGTTTAGTATGAGCAAAATGCCTTAGTTGAGAGAAAATGCGGTGAGAATGGTAACTGAATTGTATGTTCTGGTGCATGCATCATATTCTCATCACGTTTGCCATGTGTTGGAAACTTTGCACGAGATGTGACTGACTCTTGCATTGCATCTA